ATATTATTCATACATGTATTTTATACAGCTGTTTGTTACACACAATTATTGTATATTTTTGGATTAAAACATTTTTTTAATAGTCTATATTATCCTAGCTATTTCACGTAAACCTTGTAACCCCCCTCCTTTACACAATACTTTTTCTATAACATACACATCTTATTAAGTGGTGCAATGCAGTTACCGTTAGTAAAATGCCCAAGCATTGTTGGGTCTAGAAGAAAAAAATGGTACGATGCAGCTACCATTCGTAAAATGCCCAAGCATTGTTGGGTCTAGAAGAAAAAATGGAGCGATGCAGTTACCGTTCGTAAAATGCTCAAGCATTGTTGGGTCTAGAAGAAAAAATGGTACGATGCAGCTACCGTTCGTAAAATGCTCAAGCATTGTTGGATCTAGAAGAAAAAATATCGACGACGACTCCATTTCTTACTCTCCAGGTAAGATTCTTAAAAATTTGCTAATAGTTTAGACTAAATTAAACAAAATTTTATCTTTTTTGCGATGAAGTGATGTTGGACCAGGAAGAACAGGAGCTGGAGGAAGATCAGGAGGATGCTAATGAAGAAGGTAATAATACTTTTTATTACACTTTTAATTCTTTTATTTCATAGTCCTCTTATACAATTATTATACCAAAATAATTTGTTTTAGGTATATGAAGTTATGATCAAAATTCGAAATTTTATGGATTTTGTGCCAATATTGATTGTTAAAGAAAAAATAAATCTACGTTTGTTCGAAATTGAGAAACAACTGAATCATTTTCGAAATCTAGTGCCGACTTAACGAGTTGTAACACACAGTTGTGACACACATACCTGCACTTATTACAAATAATGTGTCATACAAATGCTTCTTATTGCTATGCTTCGATACACATTCAGTATAAGAGACGTGCATTAATATTATTCCAAGACATTTTTAAAAATAATATGTGGCATTTTTTAATGAAAGAATTTATGAAAGTATATATGGAATTTTGTTAAACTCAGCTGATTGTAAAATTATAGTATTGTAAAAAGTATGTTTATATACTTAAATTAAACTTAATACAAATTAAATACGATACAAATATAATTCATACATTTTTACACTAACTTTGTGTTCCTTTGCTTAAGAGATATGTGTTTATATATAAATTTATATTATACATAAATTGAGTTGTAATCAGAACAAGTTCCCAGCGAGAAATGAATCGTCGATCAATATCGAAACGATATCAAATCGACATCGACATCGTTTTGATGAATCATTTTTCATTGGGTTATGTCTAGAGAATGGTTTATACTACTTTAATTAATGAAAATCTGTAAATCTAATTTTTTAATTACATTAATTATTCAATAAGAGTTCAGAAAATATTGTTATCTCAATGCCAAATAAAATATATTGTAGTTTTTATTATTTCCATTACATTTAATGCAACTGATCATAAATCAAATCATATATACTTCTAATTTTTGCAGTATAGAACAATCAAGCGTTACTTCATCTTGTAGGTCAAGTTTTATTGTGATATCCTACTTTCCACCTAGCTAACTATTAATAATACATCCCAGTTCTTTGCTTTCAATTTTTGTTAAGACTTAAAATCCGGACACGACAAATAGCAATTTGTCACAATTACAATTTATATCCAATATTATACTACTATTATAATCTCTCAAAATTAAAAGTACAGCTGTACTAATATCATTATCCTAAATAGCACAGGTGATGGTTATACACTCAATAAGAAATCACTCTTAACATTCTTCATACTAACTTAACATAACATGTTCAAAATAAACTCCAAAGAATTTCTTTCCGGTTTGAATTCTTATAAAGTATAAAAAAAGAAATTCTTGCGGTGATCCCACCGCTGCCACCAATTTTGTTGCGGTGATCCCACCGCTGCACTGCCATCAATTTCGTTGCCGCGCCGCTCCGTGCGCGGTGTAACTTCTTTCTCACTCGCTCCGGAGGGGCGTATCCCGTTTGGACACGTAACGATTGGACACCGCTCGATTGGACACATATTATTGGACACCGAAATCATTGGACACCGCATTATTGGACACAAGCATTATTGGACACCGCATTATTGGACACTGTATTTTTGGACACCGCATTTTTGTACACCGCATTATTGAACACAAGCATTGCAAGAATATTGTGCTTTACAGAAATACGCAAACCCGATACAAAATGTGTCCGATCGGGCCTGTGTCCGATCAAGTCCGTGTCCGATCGGGCCTGTGTCCGATCGAGCCTGTGTCCGATCGGGAAATATTGCCGTGTCCGATCGGTTATGTGTGCAATCAGGACAATCCCAATGCAGTGTCCAATCTTGCAATGCTTGTGTTCAATAATGCGGTGTCCAAAAATGCGGTGTCCAATAATGCGGTGTCCAATAATGCGGTGTCCAATAATGCGGTGTCCAATAATGCTTGTGTCCGATAATGCGGTGTCCAATAATGCTTGTGTCCAATAATGCGGTGTCCAATGATTTCGGTGTCCAATAATGCGTGTCCAATAGTGCGTGTCCAATCGAGCGGTGTCCAATCGTTACGTGTCCAATAGAAGGTCACCCTCCGGGCTGCGACGGTGGTAGAGGCGTTCCGCGCTCTGGGCTTCCCGGTGGACGTCCTGGTGGTGGGACGTCTCGGAGTCGACGCCGGACTTGAGGCAGGATCCTCGCTGGTGTGTCAAGGCCCTCTGGAGCTCGCTTGGTTCGATGTCGAGGCCCGTGGAGCTCGCTCGAGGAAGATATCGAGGCCTTGAAGAAGCTCGCTCGATGGAGATACCGAGGCCCTAGGGGCTCGCTCGGTGAAGATATCAAGGCCTGAGGAAGCTCCCTTGATAGAGATGCCGAGGCCCGCGGGGCTCACTCGGTGCAGATACCGAGACCTAAGGAGGCTCGCTCGGTGAAGGTACCGAGGCCTAAGGAGGCTCGCTCGGTGAAGATATCGAGGCCTAAGGAGGCTCGCTCGATAGAGATTCCGAGGCCCAAGGGGCTCGCTCGGGGCAAAATAATCGAGGCCCGTGGGGCTCACTCGATCAGCACTGACGACTACTATCACTCGCGAACTGTCTCCGCTAAGAAACACTTAAGCCTATCACACAATGCGAGGCAACAGGCAATAGGAATAGGGAATAGAATTTTTGACGCGTTGGATTGGTTGAAGGAAAATTTCCGACAAATCCAACGCGTCAAAAATTCTATTCCCTATTCCTGTTGCCTGTTGCCTCGCATTGTGTGATAAGCTTTATTGAAATTTCGTCGTCGCCGGAGGTCTTAATATACCCATCGCCACTGAATTTTAAGCGCGAGTATGCTGACGGCGCTGGTGGCCGCCTAGCGGTGCCGCGCCGAACCACCGCTGTGTCACCGGCGCTCGCAGGAGCGGCGCCGTGCCGTGCGGTGCCCGCGCGCCTGATGTGGCGTGAGTCACAGTATAACCAGTATGCCCACTCGCTCTTTTGTTTCACGTTCGCGCCGATCCGTACTGCGCATCCAACATGTTTTAGCTATGACCAATCACAGGATTTTTGTACGTGTGTTAGTGCAAAGTCGGTGTGACATTGAAAAATTTGCAGTTTTGACGAATAACGCGTTAATACTTTTATACGTTGGAGCAAGTAATTACATTAATTACTTTTATTAGAACATTTTTTTCATAGACCATTTCCATTTACAATAAATAATGTACGCTAGTTCGTACGCGTCTTTCCTGGATACGATCCTGAAAAGGGCCCAGGCACTTTTAGCCGTTGATACACTGTTGGGGCTATCAAAAACATGGCGGAAAATTGAGAACGCCCAGATCAAAGGTGCCGACAGAGAGTGGGCATACTGGTTATACTGTGGCGTGAGTCGCCACAATCGTCTTTGTTTCCAACGATTTTTTCGTTGGTGACGAATATATAACATTGCTATTATAATTAACTTTCGTCTGCGTTCTAAATATTCGACTTCTCCGTTGTACATTGCGCGCTTTTATACATATAGGCTATGTTTATGTCGACGCGTGCGGTCAGTGTGAACCGTCAGCGAAACAACCAGCAAGCAGCAAGCGCTCGCTGCTCGACGCTTGCCGCTTGCTGCGTGCAGTCTGCACTAGGCTTAAAGGTGCCTTTTCATACGCAGCATGCAGCAGCAGCAAATTAGTCACGTGATCCAAATTCACTAGAGCATATTTGCTGCTCATGGAAAAGGAATAGCTGCAAATATGTATAAATATGTAATATGTATAACACATATATGTTATATTAGATTTACATTGTTGAATGCAAAGTTATAAAAGATGTATATATATATATATATATAATGTAACTATTGCTTGCTATTAAGAATTATATATAAGAGTATTCTATTTTCTACCGAGCAATTTAAAAAGTATATTGTATGAATAAAGCAAATGAACAATCTCGAATCTGTATTTCTTCTCTACATTATTTACATATATAAAACCTATAAATTTTTTGGGCAATATGACATCAAAATGATATTATTTTGACTGTAATATATATTCCTCTTATTCTTATTTCAAGATAATAAATATACATAATATACATATAATATTAATAAATAAGTATAATATCATAAATATACATACCTGACTCAATGCCATTTTTCAGAGAAAGGAGATAAACTTTCGCGTGTCTGCTGCTTTGCTGTTCGTTCAATTGAACTTCACAGCGATGAAGCAAAATATGGTGAAATTCATTTTGCAGCATCTAGTAACAATTCTTCAACCAATAGCAGCGAGTTGCTGCGGCAGTATGCTGCGCATGAAATGGTACCTTAAGACGTAAGCAGTAAACGAATTGACCAATCACAGTCGAGAATATATAATATGGCTGCCATAATTCTCGATTATGATTGGTCAATTCGTTTACTGCTTACGTCTTATTGCTTAAGGCCATTTGTGTGCCCCGGCCCTTACTGGATTTCACTAGATCTGCACTGCGCATGCCCGAAAAGGGAGCAAATCTAACAACACTGGTCAGGTTAGGTCTCTAATCTAGCAGTATACGAATGATGTATGACCGGTCGCTTCAGGACGCCGAAGACGTCCAAGTATGAATTCGTCTACCCTGTCGACGAGCACTCTAGGACACTCGACGGGACAGAGAACGCCGGAGTCCCAGGACTCGGAGCTGACCTCCAGCGCGACTCAAACCTCCAAGATTCTAAATCAGATGAAATCCGAGCTGCAGGAACAAAAGCAACGTAAGCGATTTCTCAAAGAGCTACACGCGAAGCGCGTGCAATCCTTGCGAAAGGAACTGGATTATCTTAAAGCGACGGAGTGGAGATATCAACCTATCGATCGGTAAATAGCATATTCGTGCTCTTTGTCCCTGCACCCCTTTTCCACCGTTGACTGCTCCTTACTGGATATTGTTCGTAGTAAAATTCATATTAATGTTGTGAATGTGAAGTATTAAATTTATTACCTTCGTTAATAAATTCAACACTTTTCTTACCCGAGCACTTGCTTAATTACTTCAACTTTCTTTCATGTCCGTAGGTACTTAGATAGGAGCCAGAGAAATTGAAGATGCTGTCGTTATTTTATAAAGGCTTACGGTATGCTGCGAGCTACATACGTACGGATAAGACTCCGGAGGAAGACATAGATGAAGTCATATCTCGTCTAGAACATATAAACGAGATCGACGTGAACGTACCGGTTAGGCAAACGGAAACACTAGATAAACAAGGATGTTACTACAGGACGGGCATTGTCACTCGTGTCTCTGTAGATCACATCCTCATAGATGATTGCTATATGTACGAAAAGATCGATGGATCGACTAACAAGGTGGAATTAGGCGATAAGGTTTACTACCTACTGTACCTGCGGGACGAAAAGGCGCAGCCGAAAGTAGGAAAAATTATCAATGTGATAGACGACAGCTGGGACGATTCAAATGTCAGTACCCACAATAACACTCAATTGATGCAGAAGAGCATAGTCGCCAAAGTGATAAAACGCGAGGGCCGAGTGGTCATTGTCGAGCCGAATAATATTCGCGTTGACCTGCACAAGGTACGATCGGACTTCATACCGATAATTGGCGATTGGGTGACGTTAGAGTCCTTGGTCGAATTGAAGGACAGCTCTTTGGATCTCAACGGCGAGGTCCTGGAGGTCGACAGGATTAAACCGTTGCGATCTAAGCTGGACGTTGGCGTGATCTCGGAGTACAAGCCGGGGGAAGGAGTGGGAATAATCAATAAGCAGGTGATCTTTCACAAGCCTGTGTGTGATGCGGGTTACATTCCCTGCATCGGCGACAAAGTGGTGAGCGACAGCATAGAAAGTGACCAAGGACGTTACAGCTGGAGATCGGTGGCCATAGTTCCGCTAACCCAGGTAAGGAATTTACTAGTTTTGCCAGCTTCGGCTTACTGAGAAATTTGTAAATACTTATCTTACGATTTATATTTCTGTGTTGTAGATTTCAAATAAGTCCATTCAGTTACCAGGCATAAACAATATTCCTTCTATGTTAGATTCTAAGGACTTGCTAAAAAACAAATATGGTATTATCATAGACGATAACTTGAGATTCAATTTGAACATAGGAGAAGAGAAAACTTTGCCAGTCTCGATACAAAACAACGGCAGTTATGCTCACATGTTGCAAGGCGGCTCTTTTATGCCACAGAAGACTCCGTCTCAGTTGTCACTAGTGTCACCGGCAAATGCAGATACCAGCACAGTAGTAAATTCTTTCGAAAAATTCACTTATACATTTAAATGCAAGGCACAATTTGTCGGCATGTCCGAGGAGCTGTTCACTTTTCACTTCAAGGACTTCAAGATAGCGAGAGTGTTTCAGATAACTGTCAAAGCAAAGAGCACTTCACAGAGAACTAATTTCACATTTAATCCACGAAGGAATGACAAAACATCTACCTTGAACGAGATAATGGATATTACATGTATTCCCGGGATAAGACCGATTAAAACGCCAAAATTTGTCAAAGTACGCACCGGAGTGTTCAAAATACCGCAATACATTCGGAATATAGTCCAGGATACCACAAAGTCTGTGAAATCACAGACGGAGTGCGAGATCGCTATTGGAGAGCAGATACCCTGTCTTCTAGAACCACTTTCCATTCATACGTATAAGGATCGTTTTCACAACTTGTTGTATCTAGAGGAAATATCTCAAATGCTCTTTTTGCAAAAATACGACATAGAAAACGCAATCATGCGACGATGCGGTGAATATCTTGCACTTGAAGTGCCAGGATTAGTAGAGAAGCGACCCTCCCTCCTTATCGGTGATAAAGCTATAGTATCTTTTCAGTGGGATAGCTCTCAAGGTAAGATATGAGCAAGACGCTGGAAAAAACATATTTCAATATCATGTGTATGATTATTTTATTATTGGAAGATGAAAATGTAGTTGTAAAACTAATTTCAATACGTTGAAATGACAATTGAATAGTTATTGATTTCTTTCTTTGCTTTGTAACAGGGAATGAAAAGTATGAGGGTTTCATTCACAAAATCAGAAGCACGGAGATCTTTTTGAAATTTAACGAAAAGTTTCATGATATGTACAATAACGAGTATTGTCAAGTGACATTTAGGAATGTGTATACCACTATTCAACGTAGCCATAATGCTGTTAACTTGGCTGTCAGTCGTCTTGGACCTGATTTTCTATTTCCTACCAAAGTAGTGCAAAAAGAACCGCAGTTCCATTTGAAAGAGTATGAGGACGAAGAGGAACCCACTCACGTGCAAGTTCGTTGCGAACGCAATAAATCTAACGATTCCAGTTCTAACAATAATACAGCCTCTAACAATACAAACAATGTGTCTCCAAAAATGTCGGTAGCGCAAAGACTTTCAAAATTTGCTGAATCGTCAGCTAAGAAACCAACATCGCCGAGTACAAGCTCAGAAATGATTCAAAATTGTGAAACAAATCTGGTAAGAAACATCGATGAGAATGGACGTAATACAACTTCAAAGATACAAAATGGATCGATCGCTCACAGCGATGATGAACTAGAACCGTATATAACTCAAATAAGGAAACGAAAGTTAAATTGGTTCAATCCAAATCTGAATTATTATCAAAAGGAAGCTGTGAGAAACATAATTTTGGGATTAGCACGTCCATTACCCTACGTTATATTTGGCCCGCCTGGAACAGGGAAAACGATGACCTTGTGCGAGACGATCTTACAACTTCTGGCCATAGTTCCCGAAAGCAGGCTTCTCGTAGCAACACCGTCGAACAGCTCGGCAGACTTGATAGCGGAACGCTTGTTGGACAGTAACATCCTTAAACCAGGCGATTTGGTACGTTTTCCTCTTCCACAGAACATTCTTTCGTGATTCATTAGCACCTGACAAAAATTTGACGTCAACTCGACCGTCGATATTTAAACAAATCGCATAATAGAAAGGCCTATGACAGTCATGCTGGATCTTCGTGTCTATTACACATAAATAATATTTTTGCATATACATCTTTATTCGACGTAGCAACTACGCGCCGACAGCTGAAAAATTTTATATAAACTAACTATAGTATATATCCATTGATAATCCAGAAAGTTATAAAAAATTGGGCCAAATATATAAATCATAAATTATTAAATAGCCCCAGTTTCGCTGTATTTATTGTGCATATGTGCCACAGGTTCGACTGGTAGCTCATCATTACACGGATAGTGACGCTATTCCTGAGAAACTGTTACCTTACTGTGCCACGGCAGAATTAGCTGCGGAAGGAACAACCGATAACTTCCATCGGCACGAGAACGGAATGAGATTAAACTGCCCCATGACCCTACTAGGTCGCCATAGAATTACCGTCGGCACCTGCAGCACGTTGGCAATATTGTACAACATGGGTTTCCCCCGTGGTCATTTCTCGCACGTTCTAGTCGACGAGGCGGGTCAGGCGACCGAGCCGGAGATCATGATTGTCCTGACTTTCATTCATTCCGATCACGGCCAGGTGATACTCACGGGCGACCCAATGCAACTCGGGCCCGTCGTACAGAGCAAACTGGCGATGCCCTTCGGACTTGGCGAATCATTCCTGTCGAGACTTCTGCATCAATTTCCTTACCAGAGGGACCCTATTAGATTCAAGACCGGCTATGATCCCAGACTAGTCACGAAACTTCTAATAAATTATCGGAGCTTACCACAGCTACTCGATCTACCAAACATGCTCTTTTACGAATCAGAATTACAGCCATACGTATGTATAATTATTGTTATTGTGTTAAACTCACCGATTTTTGTCCGACTACAAGCCATTTGTTTGCCGTATTTAGGTATCATCTACGAATAGTATGGAAGCCGAACTATTAGAGAGGTTGAAACCAGAACTGCCCGAGACAAGTGGCTCGACACCGACCATAATCTTCCACGGGGTCAATGGTCAGAATCACCAAGATTCCGACAGTCCAAGCTGGTACAATTCCGAAGAAGCGACGCAAGTGTATCTCTATTTATTGAGATTATACAAATACGGACTTACGCCGGATGATATAGGAGTAATAACTCCTTATCTAAAACAGGTATACACGTGTTTAAAAAATTCTACAATTTATTAAGCGGCAATTTCTTCCTTTCTTTTCTGAAAAATACGTTTCTAAATTAAGGTACACCAAATCCGAGATCTGCTGATAGAGTTGGGCCTTAAATTGCCGAAAATTAGTAGCGTGGAAGGATTTCAGGGACAAGAGAGGAAGGTGATCATTATCTCGACTGTCAGATCGTGCAACAATCTAATTGCTGAAGACGTCAAGCACGCTCTAGGCTTTGTCTCTTCGCCCAGGAGACTCAACGTCGCAATCACTCGCGCTCGCGTTCTACTTATTATCTTAGGAAATCCGAAATTACTCGTTTTGGATCCGTATTGGAGAAGAGTTCTAACATATTGTATCGAACAAGGAGGATACACGGGATGCACCTTTTTACCTTCGTATATAACAGATCTTCAAAACGTAGAAAGTGTCTCGTAACATAATCACGTAAGTTGTAACTTAAACGGTGTCAAGATATTTAACAATTACAATTATATTACAAGTATAATTATACTAAATATAAATATAATAATTATACTTCTAATAAATAATTATAATTTTGTTAGTTACAATATAACTGTCTGAATAAGTAAGAACTGTGTGAACAAGTAAGATCTCTTACGTGTTTACATCCAATATTTCCAATTTTAAATTGAAACTACAGAATTCTTTTCTAAAGTTCCTGAATAAGGTATCTAATTTTTTTTGCTACTTTTCGCTAACACACGACATATGACCATAATTACAATTTGATGTTAAAGCTACAATATAAAGGTGTAAATACACGTTTACGGTCGAGCTACCCATTTTGACAAATTAAAACTATTCTTTTTTAAAGTCCCTGAGTAGGTATCTAATTTTTTTATTTTTCGGACTTTTTGCTAACGCGTGACATTTGATAGAATAGCCTAACGACTCCTAGCTGCAAACTAAAGATATAATTTATGGATATATGGATAATATGTATGTATAAATAAACGTAATATTTTTTTTAATAAAATGTTATTATTTGCTCATTACTTGTTATAGTATAGATTACTTGACAATGTCAAGATATTGACAGTACCAGCGAATACATTTGGTTTCACGATGTCACAATGCAATGTTCATTATTTCTTTAAATTTAGAAGATACATTGCGTCAAGCCTGATCAGTGTTAATAATCGGAGGTGGAATATCTCTTTTGGGTATTACTTCTCCACGTTGCATCGAGTTGTCACAAATCCAAATTCCACGAGTGGTACTGAAACGAAAGCGAAGGGTTGTCTTTAAAACTTATATTCAACAAATAGTAACACTTTACAAAACGCCATGCTCTTACAATGATTATATATAATGGCAAAACAATACGAAAAAGAAACAAAAAACTCGAGTTGGAGCGATTGACGAAAGTAATAACTTGAACGGATAAAGAAATGTTAACATAATCAGAATGTACAAAAATCAAATTCGATGTTTAAATGTAATTCGACGTAAATTAGATGAACTATTATTATGTGTATACAATTACTTGACACTAGCATTTGTAATATGCGTAACTTCACTTTTCTCATGTACTACTCTCATGTCTACTGTAACGTGTTGTGCATTAAATAAATCAAATGTAAGATACGCGCAATATAATTATGAATGATACTGACCTCCTGTTAGTTCCACACTATACTTACTGGGTCTTGATTTTTCGCTTTTAGCTTTCTCTCAATCAGATTCTCTAGTGCCTCGCTTCGTACACTCAGAGTCTCTATCTTCTCAACCAATTGTTGATACGGGGATGCCGGCTGTCCTCCCATTACAACATGTCCCAACTTGCTGTCGATTTTAGCGTCCAAACGTGCATTACGAATTAAATTCACAATCCAGCATTCCGCAACATCTGCCTTCATATTTAATTTCTCCGCAAGCATCCTATAATATAAAAATAATATTAAAGTAGCAGGTAAACATCAGGTATAAATCATTAATTAGCACATTCTTATAATCGTGCAAAAAATTACATACTGGATGCTGATGCATTGATGAATTCTGCAGAACGTTTCGAAAATCATCAACCGTGCATTCTCTACGAATTCATTCAGCAGGGCGATTAAGAAGAAGTCATTGAAGACGACGGTCTGGCACTCTTGCAGCTTCTGCCGAGCTCCATCGAAGTCGAAATTAACATACAAATGTTCGAGAAACTCTGTGATGGGATCTCGATAGGTATAAGATTCCTATGTACGTAAAAATAGTATTTTTTAAGTATGTCTTACGTACCGAACGTTTCATTAAGTATAACAAGTCGTACAGATTCTTGCGATTTCTCGACAAATTTAAACCGTTTGCTTTATCAGCGAAACTTTGATTATAAATGCATTCGCCTTCTTTGAAGATTCTTTATCTCTAAAAGAATTCTCTACTTAGGTTGGATTTACTGTCTGCACTCGAGAAAACCCGTACGAATTTTTATACGCTTTTTAAAACGACGATTTTAAAATTCCACCTGTTGTATCACTTTCACGAGATCCTTCAGAATAGACCGCCTGGAACGATTAACGATAACTGCCGCAGCCAAGTAACGAAGTATATGCGGACACATTGTTTGAATAGCATTTAAATAACTGCAAAAATACATGTACACACATGATGACTTGTTTAAATTTTCGCGAGGATCGTTAAATGTTTCCTTGAGAAATCGTACGTACTGCGGCCGATAGAGGAACATCTCGATAATGAGATCCCTTCCCTTCACGTGATTAAAGAACACAAATAAACTCCAATGAATGAGCCAGGTGCGTTGCTGTAACACTTGCAGCGAATTCCCGATGACATTACTGTCGATATACTCTCGTAGCTTGTTCACGTCCTCCAGTGCCGTTTCCCAATTCTGTACAAGAATCTCCGATGCCAATTTTCCCCACAGGACATTTAAGTAGTTCTGAAAGTTGGACACAGATATCAGGTAATTTTATAAAGCGTATCGCACTCGATTGTTGCAATCCGCGAAACATTGACGGTACCTTATCGGTAGGGGACATGATCAGCATATAGAAGTATAAATACGACGTCGAAACGGAGTAATTGCCGCACTCGTAGCGATACTTTGCCAGCTTCACGAAGCTGTCCATCATTTCCACCCTGAACTGTAACCGAATGAGTAAAAGTAAGACCAACGATGCCCGTTTCGCCACGGTAGATTACCTTAAATCACTTGTAATATTTTTAAAACTAGAAAAGGATATAAATCGAGCTGAGCCGAGATCAATCTGCGTCGGTGGAAACGGGCATGAGAAATTCTCGCGCCCGTAACATCTTAGAACAGATCAAGTATCCCGTTATCCAGTAACAATTTCCTATTCCAGTAATAACAGCTGCACCACCTACATCTGACTCTTGAGTGAGGTAATTATTAAGCGCTTTGGAGTCGCGCATGTTCTCCATCTTCTTCATCACCTCCTCGTTGTTCATGAGAGCCAGCACTACCGAGACATTGTTCTGGAGCACGCCAAGCTCTTGCAGCACATCGGCACGTCTGGATTTTATCTCCTGCAATCAGTAACGTCGCCAAATCATACAATGATTTCAGCTAAATCTATGACGACTGCGTCTATTGTCGTCTCACGACGCGAACCAAGACCACTTTCTGTCAACGACAGTGTCATTGGCGTAGCTTTTCTTTACGATACATCGTACCTGCGCGACAACAGTGTAGGGTAAGTGCGCCGGTAGTTGACACCTGGCGTTTTTGTTTAAACAAATAGAGTGTAAAAACAGGATATTAGGGATGTGCCGGATATCCGGCAACTATCCGGTTACTTTTTACAATCCGGCCGGATAGCCGGATAGTTCATCACTATCCGGCTTATTCGATCATTTTCCTCTTTCTGTCTGGATTGTAATTATATTCATCTAAATTAAATTTTTTATGTAATAAATAAGAAATTATTAACATATAGAATCGAAAAGTACAACTAACTAGAAGACGAACGCTTTTGTTTCAAATAATCAATGGCCGCGTTCAGCAGACACAATTGTTGAGTGAGCGCTCGGTATGATTGGTTAATACTTTTAGATCCAGCCAATCATGTTAAGAAATCATTGAGCGCTCACTCAACAGTTGTGTCTGCTGAACGCAGCCATTGTGTCTGCTGTACGCGGCCATTGACTTCCACACGTTACCACGCACGCCATTGCGCACGCAATTTGATTAGTAGAATGATTGGAGACGCACACTATAACACATGGCAACGCAGAAAATTAAGGATAATTCAAACAATTTATCAATATTATCGATATAAAATAATCACTTATGTGTGAAATAGTAAAATGTACATAATATAACTTAAATAATTAATCTTTTTTACTGTAAAGCATAGTTAAATTAACTTTTTTAGTTTCTTTGCATAACTACCGGATAATATCCGGTTATCCGGCAAATACACTATCCGGCACATCCCTACTTCAAAGTGGCGCGCAGGTCAACTCCGCACTTGACTCCCGTTCTTAGGCCGGTATTCATAGTCCGT